CCCAGGACACTCTCGCTTCACAGTGACCACTTGCCAGCAGTGGGGTTCCAGGGGCCCAGGCCCGGGAAGGCGGCCCCGGCTTACCGTTGACAGAGCCTGGAAGAGGCAGTAGAAGGTCATGTACCAAAGGCCTCGGAGGTTGGTGAAGGGGGGCAGGTACCACAGGAAGAAGTAAGCCAAGGCGGTGAAGGGCATGCAGCCCAGCACCCTGTGGGAGCACACGGGGGTGGGATGCCCACCAAACCGGGCCTGGGGCCACCTCACCCCTCTGGACCTCAGCCCTGGGTGGGCCTCTCAGGGTGGGAGCCGTGGAAGGGGAGGGGGGAGGGGACCAGAGGTACCAGGACGGGGGCTGTGACTCTGGCTAGGACACGGGTGCTTGGTGGTGCCATTTCCCCTGTCAAGGACCCTGGAGCACAGGAGTCGGACCTACTCTGCAAGACCTTCCCTGGCCTCGCTGAGACCCCTGGGCCAGGCCTGGGAGTCTTGGAGGCTTTGTCTACCTGCACCACCTGGTGAGGGAACGTCCCCAGGAATGTCTCTGACTCCTGCAGGATGGTCTGGCCCAGCCCGGTACTGTCACCCACTGTCCAGTCCTATCACCGGCTGTCCCGTCTTGTCCTCTAACCATCCACAGGGTTTTCTACTAAGAAGCAGGGCTATGACAATCCCAGGGACCTCAAGGACCATGGGGCTGCTCACCAGGGCATGAGTCGTCCGGACCCTGTCCTCCTGCTTCTGCTGATGAGGAACCCAGCCACGGGGTCAGCAGCTGCCCCCGACACCCTCCCTCCAAACAGGACAAGTGACACCTGGGCAGCAGGGATCTGCAATGACAGGGGAGGGGATAGCCAAGGACTGGCAGAGTCAGAGAGGGTGTCTAGGCCTGCCCACCCACCAGGAGGGGGATCTGGGAACCTGGCTGGGGCCAGAGTGTAAGGTCCATTCAGCCTGCTCCCCAGAACACTAATCCAGAAGGCTCTCAGGGCACATCTGTGCACGTGTGTGGAGCGTGGGAGGGAGCTGACAGCCACATACCGGCACATCTCCATTGTTACTCATGCCCACTCACTTCCGGAGAAGACACGAGGGACCCTCACCTGAGGTGCTCAGTGCAAGAAGGATGCGCCCAGGCTGACAGTCACAGGTAGATTTTTGTCTCACAATAAATTTGTTTTAATTTTTCTGATTACATAAATGATACACTCACTATAAAGACATCAAACAGTACAGGAAAATATTGAGCAAAGCTCATCTGAAATCCCACCATCCTGAGACAACGCCAGAAGCATTTTGATGATCATCCTTTCATGCATTTATATACATTTGCAATTTATATGTGTGTGTGTATATAAAATTTGCAACCATATCAGTGTCACTTAAAAAACCATGAATACCACCCAGCTGGCGTGCTCAGTGGTTGAGTGTCGACCTATGAACCAGGAGGTCACAGTTCCATTCCCGGTCAGGGCACATGCCCGGGTTGGGGCTCAATCCCCAGTAAGGGGTGTGTAGGAGGCAGCCAATTAATGATTTTCTTTCATCATTGATGTTTCCATCTTTCTCCCCCTCCTGCCTCTCTGAAATCAATAAAAAAATATTTTTTAAAAATAATGAATACCTATTTAAAAAAACATTTTTTGCCTGCTCTCTATCCTCCATCATTCCCTCCTGTAGCCAACATTAATAGTCTGGTGTAATTTTCTGTACATTTTCTCCATGCTTATTTTTAACTAGAGGCCTGATGCACAAAATTCGTGCAAGGGGGCTCGGCCCTCGCAGCCCCGGCTTCGTCCAGAAGGTTGTCCGGAAGGTTGTTCAGCTGTGCAGTCTAATTAGCATATTACACTTTTATTATTATAGATCATGTACTGACACATACACACATTTACTCATGAACATACATATATGGGGCATGTCATTGTTTTGCTAAAATAGGATTATTTTGTATACTCTTCTCTAAAACTAACTTTTCTCACTTGATAGTGCATCATGGAAATCCCTCCACATCAACTGGTATTGATCTAACCCAGTGGTTCTCAACCTCCTGGCCCTTTAAATACAGTTCCTCATGTTGTGACCCAACCATAAAATTATTTTCGTTGCTACTTCATAACTGTAATGTTGCTACTGTTATGAATCGTAATGTAAATATCTGATATGCAGGATGGTCTTAGGCGACCCCTGTGAAAGGGTCGTTCGACCCCCAAAGGGGTCACGACCCACAGGTTGAGAACCACTGATTCTAACCCATTCTTTAAATGGCCACATGATAGTCCATTATATGGAGATAGTACAAGTTATTACTCAACTGCTTCTATATTGGTGGGCATTCACATTGTTTCCCATTTTCCAGTACAAACAACCCACAATAAATATCCTTGGCTTTTTGTCAGGCTTAGGTCAAAGGTGCTATCTGTTATGGATCAGGTGGGGGTGGAAGGACCAGACACTAAGGAAGATGGGAATAGGGGGCGCCGGGCTGCTGCCCACACTCACCTGTGCCACATCTAGCAGGAAGAGCTGCAGGTAAAAGGCCGTGGCACTGGAGGCCACCTGACTGGGGACCCCGCCAATGCCATAGCAAACCTTCGTACAGAATGAGAGGCGACCAGCTCTTCTGTCCTGGGGGAGACACAGGAGCTAAGCCCCACCTTCATAGGCACACAACAGCTCCCCACACCCCCATGACTTCCGTAAGCATCCTGAGGTCCCTCTATCTTGAGGGCTTTCCCTGCAACCTCTCAGTCCTAATATGCCCCAAATCATCTTAAAGGGAAGGGAGACAGAAAAACTAAAACATGATCTCTAAACTTTTCCAGGGGGAAGTTCTTCCTTATATCTCCCCCTTAGTGCTTCCTGGTTGTTTTACTTTCTGAGTCAACAAGCCTGAGTGAATTGGGGGTCAGGAGACCCCCAACTTCCACACCACCTCCCTGTGTGACCTTGAATAAACCACTTTCCCTCTCTAAACCTTATCCGTCAAATGGAAAAGTCCTGCCAACGTCACAGGGTTGTTTTGATAAGCAAATGTGGTCTGGCTCTGGGAGCTGATTGTTAAATGTTCAGGACTCCTGCAGCCGGTTGTTGAATGACTAGTAGCCTGAAATCATTCATGGTGAGGGTATTTACACCACTGTAATCAGCAAACATTACAAATCAGAGCTTTTTTTTTTTCTGGAGAGACTGTTTACCAATCCACCACTGAAATGAAGTAATGTTTATAAGCCCAATGTGTGTGTGTATATATAAAATTTGCAGGCCCTAAGCTATCCAGCACACTCCAGACTCAAATATTTGACTGACTACTAACAACCCTATGTGGTTGTCTAACAGGCATTGCAGTTTAGTATGGTCAAACACACAGTTTCTGGCTTCCATCCCATTGTTTCAACCAACTCCTAACCCTGTTGTCCCCATTGCATTAAATGACCCCAATGTCCACCCAGCAGCTCAGGCCGCAGACCCAGGAGTCACCTCGATTCCCCTTTCCCACTTCCCCTGTCTAGTCCATCAGTGAGAGCCTCCTCAGTGGCTCCCCTGCTTCTGCTCTCAGTCCTATTCCTCAAAAGTGACCATGCCTGTTGCTGCCCCAGGGCCTTTGCACTTCCATTCAAGTCTAAGCCTAAAGGTCATCTCCTCAAAGAGGCCTTTCCTGGCCACCAAAGTCTGTTTTCCAACTGCACTTATAAGTGCTCTGAGAGATGACCTATTCACCACCATGTCTCCAGTACCCAAAGCAATGCTTGACATGTGGCAGATGCTTGGTATATACTAGTATTTGTTGAAGGAATCAATGCCACAAGAACACTGTGTAAAGTGCCACTTCTCTACCGTTTCTCTGAAAGGTGCTGGGAATTCTTCTTCCTCGTCCTTTGCTTGGGGATGGGTGGGGGAGTGGAGAAGACTGTGACTTCACCCATTTTGGTATCTTGCAGGACACCCAGACGGGCCCTTTTGAAGGGAAGGTCTTCCCAGATAAGAGTTTATCATATCCTTTGCACACTCTTTCTGCCCACAGAAGAGAACCATACACGAAGCAGGATGTGGCCTCCTTTTCTGACATGAACATTATTTCAATGTCCAGAAAACTCTTAACAATAGGCAGAATCCACCGTCACAGCACTCCTGCCCCCTCCCCTCCATAATGGGAATTTTGTTTCCCCCTAAATACGTCTGGCAAGTTTCTGGCACATGGCATTTGAAAGGGAAAAAAAAAATTCCAGTGGAAACTAGGTACATGATATGGTTTTGGAATCTTGACAGTTTTATGCACTTAAAACATAAACCCTTCACAGTTGGCGGAGCACAAGTCTTAGCGTTAGACACGCTCGGAGTCCCTTCCGCGCCTGCCCTTTCTAGCTGTGTGACCCAGGGCCAGTTAGCTTCCCGGGCTGTTTCGGTTTCCTCACAAGTTAGCTGGAGGTAGTACAACCTCACAGGGTTGGTCTGAGAATGAAATGCTGCCACTGCATTGGCAGTGTTGGGCTTTCCCTCTTGCCATCCATCTCACCCTGAATTTCTCACTTTTACTGGAAAATGGGAGTCCTCAGGGAGCCTCCTTATGGGACTTTCTTTCTGGGGGGCCACAATCCTTTGCTCTGAGGTGCTTGGGAGGAGGGTGTGGAGTTGAGTTGGTAGTGAGGTGAAGCCACAGGCAGGCG